CATCTCCATATTCCTAAAGTGAAAACAAACCAAAGAAAAATTGAAAAAGCTGATAAAAAAAAATTATCGACCAAGAATCGAACAATTGTTCTTTCTTTTTTTTGCACTTTAGGTATATGGAGGTGTGTTTTACATAATTTCTTATCAGAAATTAGGGATTATTCCTTTTCATATTTCCTAAAATTGCATTTTAGTTTAATAGTTTTAGATTCTATATTATAATATAATTTGATAGAATGAATGTACATTAAATACGCAGAAATCAATGGTAAAAAAATGTAAAGGGCGAGTCATTTAAAAACATCGACATTAAAGTTGTTCTGTTGTCACTGAATACCCTATATATTTTAAAGTATTTTATAAATAGATAAGCAAATGAAATCCCTCTATAAATTATCCCAAAAATATTTTCCTATATATATCCCACCCAACATGCAATTTTAAAGTAAAATTTATTCATATAATAAGGTTATTAAAAAAAAATGCAAACTTCTCGCAAGAAAATAGTAATTCATTAAAATGAGAGAAATCGGTAAATTTAGATAATATGCAAATGAGAATTTATTATTTTCTTTTCTACGCCCCTTTATGACAGTACGTCTCTGGTAGACCGGAAACACTTGTCGCCATATTCGTCTAGTCACATACTATTGCCGCGTTTGAGAATCCACATCGGATGCATTTTTTACATCTCGAGCGTTTTTTTATCCACATCGGACACATCTACATCTGCGTTTGTTTATCCCAGATGTACCTGCTCAGATTACATTTTTTACATCTCGATTTCAAATGAGATGTGAATGAGATGTTCGTTCCATGCCAGAAAGTAAGTGTTCTGTGAAGCCAATTTTGTCAATTTATCCTTTGTTTATGCTAGCATGAATATTAAAATGATTAGTTTGTGTAATTTTTGTTAAGATTTCAAATTTGGGTTGATTTGTAGTCTCAAAAGTCAAATTTAAAAAGAATAAACTTCTAACTTGTCATTGACATTTTATCACGTGACCAAATAAAGTCTAGAGCGTTTGTTTATTACATCTATATTCAGATCTAATTCTCTATCACGTGATAAAAAATTCACAACATCTCAGATGCATCCGATGTGGATTCTCAAACGCGGCATTTGATTACTATACGAGGCAAGAGAGAGGTCCGACACGCCCAACATAGGGCGCGGCCATTTTGATCCCTGTGACACAGTTTACAGCTAAAGAATCAGATCGCTCACTCTGCGTCGGCACTTTTGATCTCAATGTTCCAGTTTATACACTGCGCAACTCGGATAATACAATATATGACAACTGCCTATAATAAAACAGCAGTCTTCTGTGTATCCTGAATTTGTATCCCTGGATTGGATGTTATTTTGGAACTTTCGACTGGTCCGAGTGAGCTAACTGATTCTTTAGCAATAAACTGTGATTCCAAAAATAATATTCACTGACACTAGGCGAGTTCGGTCAGTCAGGGGCTGGAGCGGGACAAATTTTAGGGTGCTTTTAAATGACATTTAAGCGTGTTAAACTGTCACTAATCGGACTAAACCTAACGGTAAAAGGGTCGTTTGGAGTTAAAAGTGTTAAAGGAGTTAAAGGAACTTGGCAGACCGAACGGAATGACTGACAGCAGCAAGCAAAATATCAGGTGCGTTTTAATCATCCGCTTCTGCTTCCGGAATTGTCGGTTTAGTCGTTTTAACCTGTCAGATTAAAACAAGAAAACCAACAATTCCGAAGCAGAAGCGGATGATTAAAACGCACCTATTAAAAATATTGCGCCAAGATGTAGGCAACACGTAATAAGGGTTCAAAATGTCGGAGTTTTCTATCTCCTTTTAAAAGGCACTCAGAAAGCTGCGCAGTGCGACCATTCTCCGTATAGTAAAAGAAAATCAAAGTATGTGCGTCTAGTTCACTGTTAAAATTAGATACCATCGCGATTCCAAAGTCGTTTAGGATTCCTCCTTCCTGACTATATTTATTTTAAGATGATAACCCTATTATTAAATGGCATATATCAAATTTAATTTAGTTTGGAGATCTCTAAACAGAATTTGAAGTTTAGAAATTTTAGGATGTTTTGATTTTGTTATTTTTAAATATAGTATGTTCTAGTAAATTTATAAATAAATATCTCGTTAGATGTAACCAGATATGCTTTGCTAATTAATATGTAACCAAAGCAGAGTAACCAAAGCTTATAAAGAAATGGCCTGGTTACATAAGTATTTCTGGTAAAAAATGCCTTGAATGTATTGTGTATGAATAGGAAATAATATTTAGACCCTAGAAGTTGTAATTTACTATTTACCATAATACAAAATATTGAATTATATTTATATTGAATATATTTTAAAATTATTCATTAGGATAAAAATATAATTGTATTTTTTAAAATATTGTAATTTATATAACAGAAAATTTCATAAAAATGTTAAAAAAATAGAGTAAGAAACAACGTAAATTAAGTGTACTGAAACATTTCTAATACTTATTTTAACTTTTTCTCATAAAATTAAGAGTTTAACAGCCGGTTGCAATATCGTTCGTTAAAATTTACTATAGCCTGATAAACTTTGAAGAAGGTGTTTAGACTATGAGTAATTCAGAATTTATTTCATTCAGATATATTACAATCTCAAGCTCTGTCAAAGTTTATCAGGCTCATATTAATAAACATTGTGATTTCACGGCTGTGTATTATATTATACAGCTTTTTATTTCAGTCTTTTATTAAAATACTTAATAGTAAGGTTTAAAATAGTAAATAAAAACAATATTAATTAAAAAAAATGACAGACTCACTTCGAGGGACCAAGTCGCTGCTATCAGGATGCAAGCAATCGTACTTATTTCGTTATTAAAATCATTCGTTTCACATAACACAGTAAGAGTTTTTTATCATTGTAATTTTAGTAGGTATTTAATTATTATGAACCAACCGACACAAATTCAAATTGATATAACAAATGTCTCTCAAAATGTATGAAATTAAGATGGCATTACTGTACTACTCGGAGATGACAGTCGATAATAAAGATCCCACCAATGATATCTATAGTTATATAGATTGCTCACCCATATGTAAATAGTACACTTTTTAATTTTATGATTGTTTTCCAATATCTTGTAAAGTTGTTATTTTAATTGTTAATGGTACTTGTATTTCTTATATATTTTATTACAAATATTTCTCTGATGAAAGTGATATGACACAATTTTTTCAATGAAGTGGAGAGGGATAGAATGATAACTGTCAATGAAAAAGTATAGACCCTCTGGAAAATTTCGTTTCACACATTTTGTAAACAAGATTCAGGGACGGTTTAAGATCATTTTGTCGAACAACTATAAAATAAAGCATCGGAATATTTTTAACAGATATAATTGAATACTAAATCGAAATTAGAGCAAAAATAATCACAAATACAAGCAAGCCAATAAAGAACCGACGCCAAAAAAGATTACAACAGCCACAACGCAAACAAAAACAAAGCTGAAAATGAACGTAATGGATGAACAAAACCAAGCCTGGAATTTGTTTACTGTAGGGCAACCTCTCCTTGTCATTTACGTAGGTAAGAGTGGAAGATTGAATCGTGTATAATTTCTTCATTCGTCGTGGATGCGCAGACGGTACCTCTCTATGATTAAAACGCACCTAATATTCACTGACACTGACAGCAGCAAGCAAAATATCAGATGCGTTTTAATCATCCGCTTCTGCTTCCGGAATTGTCGATTCAGTCGTTCTAACCTGTCAGATTAAAACAAGAAAACCGACAATTCCGAAGCAGAAGTGGATGATTAAAACGCACCTATTAAAAATATTGCGCCAAGATGTAGGCAACACGTAATAAGAGTTCAAAATGGCGTAGTTTTCTATCTCCTTTTAAAAGGCACTCAGAAAGCTGCGCAGTGCGACCATTCTCCGTATAGTAAAAGAAAATCAAAGTATAATAAAGTATGTGGGGTCAATGAAATATAATATGGTCATATATCACATACTTTGTTATGTGTCATATATAAATAGCTCAAATGCTGCGTTTGAAAACTACCTCGTTTTGCTCTTTTTACTCGAAGCCGTTCTTTTAATACATCTGTGGCTACTCGATGGGATCTGCTCCGTGGTCTTTTAATGCAGAGCTGGTAAGTCGAGTAAGATCTATTTACTCCGAATTAAATTTAACAGTTTATTATTTTTCATAAGCAAAAAGCGAAAATACCACAGCTAAAAATTAACTTTACTTTGCAACTTGCAACAAAAACCACGATACGAAAGATCAAATTTGATTTAAAAGAAAGGTTTAAGTTTGTTATTTTAATGAAAATCGGAAACGAGAAACGCAAACAAATCCATAGCCGTTCTTTTATTCCATATAAGCTCGATTTGCTCGATGAGGTACTTTTCAAACCTAGCAAAAGTAGATCGCTTTTAAAACGGCCATATTGCTTCGCAATTACTCGGGTTAGGGCAAATTCCACCGTTGTGTTAAACACTGACAGTTAGGCAACCAATATTACAACTTTCTTGTGTTGGTTGCCTATGATTAACTTCATTCTTTTATTGATAAATAGAAAATAATAATAATTTATTTTTATATTGTTTATTAAAGTTATTTATACTTCAAGAAAGTTGATTATTTTGTCGTGTATCGTTTTAATTATTTTGTGCTGATTTAGAAATGAAAATAAATACTAAAACATTATTACTAGGTTGTAATTTTAACCAAATTCTATATTTATCTGTCCTTTGATATAAACTTTTAATAAAAATATATGATATATTATATTTTAAAAATCATAATGTTCATCGTAGGTCATTTTGCACTTGCTGCGATTATTTTTACTTTAATGCCTTATTATAAAAACGCTGATGATCAATCTATATAACTATCATAGCATTGATGCTGTCAAATCCACCAGGCCAATGAACAGGGTTGCCAACAATTCACTCCTCTTTTGATATGTAAATCGAATTAGAATTACAATTTATATGCCGCGTTTGAGAATCCACATCGGATGCATTTTTTTACATCTCGAGCGTTTTTTTTACCCACATCGGGCACATCTGTCCCATTACATTTACGTATACTGAATCACGTAATCAAAGATTTACTACATCTCAGATGCATCCGATGTGGATTCTCAAACGCGGCAATAATCGATTCGCTTTTCGATTTTGCCTGTCAAAATATGGACCCGACACCCGACTACGCGATCTGTACGCGATAGAACTTGATTTGCAGGTTGACCTGCATGTTGTACTAATGGTAGGTGGCATCACGGCATATATTTTGACCATAATGAGCTTCAACTGTCAAAATCAGATGAAAATAAAAGAAGGAATAAAAATTGAAATTGACAAAAAGTCAGATATGGAAGCCTGCACAGCAGTAGAAAAAGAAATTGATAAAGTTTGCTCAAAATTTGGATACATAAATGATCATGCGAGAAGAATATTATCGGATTTGGTTAATCAAATTCAAAACCTGAAGGAAGAGTACGATAACAGTGAGTAAACATTTTGTACTTCAAACAAAGAAAACAACTCGGAAAACAATGATTTGATATTTTAGGTAATAGCGAACATGTTTTAACTGATTTACAAGTCGATATTTTAAGACAGAATATGGGTAAAATTAAAGATACAATATCTAAACTAGCTACTGATCATAGAGATTTGCATAGCACCGTTTCCAAAGTTGGCAAGGCCATTGACCGGAACTTCGTATCAGATTTTGCAGCTACAAGTCGCGAGGAAATATTCAATGGCACAGAAAAAATAAATCTCATTAATAAAGTTATTTGTGAACATTTTTATAGGCAAGGACTGCATGATGTAGCTGATGAATTAGCTAGAGAGAGTGATTTAACACCAGAGCCACATGAAAAAGAACCATTCACAGAGATAAATCACATCCTAGAAAGATTGAAAATGAAAGATTTAGAGCCCGCCTTAGCATGGGCTACTGTACATCATGATAGCTTAGAAGCACAAAATTCATCTTTAGAGTTTATGTTACATCGATTAAAATTCATAGAAATCTTACGTAAAGGTTCAATTCATCAAACAGACGCTATATGTTATGCTAGGATGCATTTCAGAAAATTTGTACACAGGCATGAAAAAGGTATGTATTTTCTCTAAGTTATTTTAGGAAGGACAATCCTTTTATAGGTTCTGTCCTCTTACCATCCCCTTTTCATTATTTTGAAACTAATTTGTTAATTATGTTGATACTCTAGTTGGTAAGTGCTCCATAAAATTCAATATGAAAGATATTGCTCTGAAATTTCCAATAAAATAATATATTAATAAAAAACCATTCATTAAATGGACAAATACTCATTTAATTAATAGGAATGTAAGCATAATTAGTGTATTTTTGTTTGAATTAATGTTTCATTTAAGTTTTACTTATGACAAAGTCATCTTAACATTTTAAAAATGGACAAACTAAATAATTTATCAAAAAAAGTACAGGAATATTAAAAACTAATAATCATACACTGTAAGGGCTAAATAAAGATTCTATTTTAAAATGGTGAAAAAGTTAGTTCCTTGTTTATTTATAATTAATCTTCAAAATTGATTAGGCACTTATTTTGTATTTTGTTTGTGTTATTATTTGTACAATAATATCTATGTTTATTTAACTACTGATATTTTGGAAATTACTTACATACATAAATATTTCATTAAATTTTTGATTATATTATGGAGAATTAAGACTATTATTAAATTTTGAAGCAATTATTTGCTACAATGTAAAAGGGTGTAAGACAAAAAAAAGCTATATAAAGATAAATTATCTCTGTTATTGTGGCTCATATCAGCGACAGCTCATGGCCTAGTCTAAGGGGAGGCTGACTTAATACAAATATATATTTCTATTAGAATACAATGTAATATTTCTGCTTTTCCTATTCTAATAGAAATATATATTTGTATGAAGTATATAGGGTGTGCCTTTCAAAGGTAGTCTTCTTAGACTAGGTCACAAGCCACCTGTGGGTAATATACTAAGGACAACTTATTAATACACACTACAATAATTGTATTGCACTTTTTCATGACAAAAAGCATGTAAATTGAACATATGCCAAATGTGTTCAATATACTTTAATCTTAAGCAAAATTAAATCTATTTATCATAGAAATAATATAGAAAAACAATATAAATGGAACATTTAAGAAAAAAATTGAAAGCTGTCTCTACACAGGTAATCATAGAATTGTGTGTCTACAAACAAGCATGACTTTATATCTCACGACTATTTATTATGGTGAAACACATTAAAATAACAAAAAATTTCTAGAGTTTTCCCTTTTATAGATTTGATTGTATGTTTGCGATGCCGGCGCACTTGCCCTATAAACAAGTCATTTCAAGTTTCCACATTCTTGTTTTTGTTGAATAGCATGACTGTGTATTTGTGTTAATGTTGTAAGATAATTTACTTAACTACATACAATATTTATTCATGAAAACAGGTATTGTATTTTATTAATTTGCTAAATAGGATAGGTACCCTATAGGCACAAAATTTTTAATTGAAAAACAAATATTTTTATATTTTGGAGGTGATAGGGTAGGTATTACCCCTCTTGATTGGCTTAACGCCCCCCCATTTGCCTCTGGATCCGCTACCGCCCCATATAAAGTTCTAGCGCCCACTGGGGGATAGAATCGCCCTCATTAGATGTATTATGTGCACAGCCACAGTCAATATTCAAATTAATTAATTTATTTATTATACAGGATAACTCCATTAAAGAAATTTATACAATTTACAATATAAAAATATAAAAAGGCAGGTAGAAAAATACTATTACTAAAACAAAACAAAAAACAAAGTGCAAAAGTGAGTTTTTACAGTAATTAATTAAGGTGAATTTAAATATACATTAAATATAAGTTAAGGAACATGTATCACATTTTTACTTTCCTATATGTATACAGATATAAGAAAAGTATAGGAATCATGATTTTTTTCGACCTCGAGTTTTCGACGGATTTTTACGTTTTGAGGTCCCTTGAATCCGTTTTGACTATTTTCGCGATGATGTCTGTGTGTGTCTGTCTGTGTGTTGCATAACTCATGAACCGATACACAGAAAAACACCAAATTTCAAACTTAAGCTTTGTTCCAGCGTCCAATGTGCTGATTAGATTTTGGGCAGTGTCGGAACATCTGGGGGGGTACTTTATAGGTGGTCATTTTTATATTTTATGGAATATATCTGTTATTTACGTTAGGGGAAGAAAATTCTTCAAATAAAAGTTACTTCTTATATTATTATCTAAAATTTTTATTCTATACAAAATTTTCCTAAAATGGTCCGTATTCGAGATATTTGAGAAAATGTGTAAATTTTGAAATTTGAAGAAAACTCAAAAACGGATAAAGAAAAAAACATTAAATTTATATTTTATGGAATATATCTGTTATTTATGTTTGGAGAAAAAAATTGTTCAAATAAAAGTTATTTCTAATATTATTATCTATAATTTTTGTTTTATGTCAAAATTTCCTGAAATGGTCCGTATTCGAGAAATTTGACAAAATGTGCAAAATTCTTATTTTTATGAAAATTGTTGAAATAAAAATTGGTTGCGATATCGATCTCTATAATTTTTGTTTGTACATGATTTTTCTAAAATGGACCGTAACGAAAAAATTTTAGGAAAAGTGCTAAATTTAAATTTTTCAGTATTTTCATTTTCAATGAATATCTATAGAAAAATGTTTCGAGGTAGACGTATGTGGAAAATGTATATATTTATTTTATCCTCTATGGTGCTGCAATAGGTTGTACAAAATAACCGGAAAAAGCCTGTAATAACTAGATAGGAAAGTCATGTGTTGGACACATCAGATTTTTACAATTGGTTTTAAATTTGACTAATCCCATATTAAAAATATCTAAATTAGAATTATTCAACATAGACAAGTATATTAAATGTTAATGGATATCTCAGTCCAAGGTAATAAGGAACATTTAGGCTAATCCCGCTCAAAAGAGAAGAACAGTCTATAATTTCATTTAAAATTTTGAATAAAAATACTAAGCCAAATATGTCTCTTCTTTCCCTTAAAAGTAGGCAAATTTAATTGACTTTCTATAGCACTATAATCATGATCTGAAATCCTGACATTACTTTTAACTGCACATACTCTCAAAAATTTGTGTGTACCCTTTCTAAAGTATCAGAATGAATTTGAAAAAATGGTGACAACACAATTGAGCCATACTCAAGCACGGATCTAACTAACGAGCAGTAGACCATTCTGGTGGCATCAGTGGAGAAGTACTTACAATTTATTATAACAAATCCTAACATTTTTGATCCTTTAATAGAGATTGAGTTTATATGTTCAACAAATGCTAGTTTTTCATCAAAAATGACACCCAGATCTTTTACTGTTGATTTGTATTCAAGTTGGTGATCATTAATAAAATAGTTTGTTGCTATCCTAACAGCTTTACGGGAAAAACTTATATAGCAACATTTATTTTCGTTTGAGTACAATTTGTTTTTATTACACCACTCTACTAAGCGATTCAAATCCTCTTGAAGGAGTTCTTGATCACAAATGTTCTGTACTGTTCTCCAAAACTTGAGATCGTCAGCAGACTTAGCACATTGGCTGTACACAAAACAACCAACAATATCATTCACAAAAATGTTAAAAAGAAGAGGTGAGCTAGGCCCCCTTGAGGTACACCAGATGTAACATTAATTGTATCTGAGTAGTAACAACCTATTTTTACCCTTTGAATACGATCAGTCAATGAGCTTTCCCACCACAAAACAAAGCCTAAGTTGAAGCCAACTGAAAGCAACTTATTTAACAAAATATTGTGATCTACTCCATCAAGTCAGTTTGTTTTTTGTCTTCCATGTTTTGAAGAACATTTAATTGATAAGTTTGAAACAGTTGATCTGTTCTGGGAAAAACCATGTTGTTGCTGACAGATTAAGCCTTTATATTGCCAAGTCAGTTATTTGCTAACTAGGCAATCAACTAATTTTGGTATAGCAGATTGTATACAGATACTACGGTAATTCTCGATGTTATTCTTTTCCCCACTTTTGAAAATAGGAACAATATTGCTTACTTTCCAGATCTTAGGAAAAATAGAACATTCCAATGATTTGTTAAATTACAAAAATAAGGGTAAAACAATTGTGCAAACACATTTCTTTAATAAAAAGTTAGGAATACCATCTGGACCTGATGTTAACTTATTTGGAATATTTAAAATTTCATTGAAGATGTCAGATTTTGATATTACATTACTCCTAATATTGTTGCTTAGGCTCTTGTCTCTAGTTACATCATCAGTATTATTACTAATAGTGTATACAGTTTGAAAGAAGTCCCTAGATAAATTTGCAATAACTTGGCCACATACAGCCTCTTGATTGCCATAGAACATGGAACTGGGCAAATTGTGGTTAGAGCGTTTGTCGTTTATAAACTTCCAGAAAGATTTAGGATCTTCTATCAATTTCGCATCTAGGCCCCTAATATAATTATTAAAACAAATGTTAGAGAGCCTCTTACATTCTGAACGCAACTGAGAAAATCTAACATAACTTTCATGTGACTGCTTATATTCAGAATGTTTTTTTCAAAAGTTAACTTATTTATTTAATAAAATTTATTTGTGTTTTTTTTTAAGAAATCCAAACACTCATGGGAATGCTTTTATATGTTCCCAATGGTATAAATAGTTCACCATATAGTTGCCTTCTAGATTCAGAATTGTGGATTGAAATTTCTGAACTTTTCCTGCGCGAAGCTTGTCAACTATTAGGCGTTTGCGTCAACAGCCCATTGACGACTTGCGTTAACGCAGGATGCACTGCCATACCAGCCTTGCTCAATATAAAACAAGTCATGATGCAAAGACAAGTTAGTGGAATATGGAATGGGAAAGATGAATTACCTGTAAGTAATATTTGAGTGACTTTTACTTATAAATACATTTTTTCCTAGGATTTATATAAAAAAAGAATACAATTCGAATTTAAAGACGTTTGTGTTTGGATTTTGTTAAATAATAAGCAAATTTTAAGAATTAATTTACTTTCCAGATTGAAATTGATTTAGGAAATGAAAATAAGTACCATTCTATGTTTGCATGTCCAATTTTAAGACAGCAGTCTACTCAATTCAATCCACCAATGAGATTAATTTGTGGACACGTTATATCAAGAGATGCATTGAATAAGCTTTGTAGTGGAAACAAGTAAGTAGTCATTTCGTTACACATTTTCAAATTTTATCAGTTTAATAAACATCTATTTAAAATTAAATGACTTGATATTTGAATAAATACATAGAGCGTTGCAATGTGGTAATCATAAAATACCATAAACTTTTGTTTACAATTGAATTAACATACTTTCAACAAATACAAATGTTATGAAGAAATGGCAACCTAATTTGCCACTGAACTTGACTGTTCCTGTACTTAAACTTCTTCTAAGTCTTCATTCCTTTCACTCAGTTATTGCATTTCGTTCTGAATGTCAACATTCAGCACTTTTTAGCATTATGCGTTATGTAATGATTGTTTATTTTAAAAACAGTGTATTTATTTACATACATTAAACCTTAATTGATTTATTTATACTTAAAACCTTCATATTTCACACTTTTAATTTCTATAACAATTTGAATATCTATTTACAACTTCTGTCTTTAAACTTAACTTCTATCGACAAAGTCGCGCTATTTATACAAAAATGCTGCGCACCGCACTATTTTCGATGAATTTCAGATATTTTTCGAACGTATTGGATGAGTTTTGGCAACTTTAACAGTTTTTTCACCAATTATCCCTTATCGTTCGACAGGCGATTGAATAATTGTAGTTACAGAAAAAGATGATAACTCAAATAAGGTTAAGAGGAACTTAAGGGATTAGCATGACCGAATTGGTCGAAACTTTTTTTCCTTCAAGTTACTAATACATCATAAATAGTAACGCACTTAAGCTGCCCCCTTGCTTTTTCTTCTTCTTTATGAAAAATATTACTTTTTGGCTCTTCTTTTTTAATCCAAGTTTAGATATAAGAGTTTTTTTTATTTATTTCAGGATGAAATGTCCCTACTGTCCCGTGGAACAGACTCCATCAGAAGCAAGACTAATATTTTTTTAAACGCGTATATATATATATTTTATTTCACTTAAATTGCAATATGGTTCTGTAAGGCTAAAATACCATTTTTCATAAATATTTAGTATTTAGTTTGACATTTATTAGTTTGTAGATTTGTTATACTTCAACTAAGATTTATCATTTTATTTGTGATTCCTCCAGGTTAGTAAAAAAAAAAAATAAAAAACATTTTATTTATTATTATCCAGAATTATTTTTTAATTTAAAAGAAAAAATTATAAAGTGAGCTGTAATGCTCATTGGGTTGCTCAAATGAAATGAAAGGTAAGAAAAAGGGAAGAACTGTTCATAATTAAAAAACAATGATAATTTTTCAAATTTTTTCCCCGATTTAAAAGTTTAATTAATTTTGAAAAAAATTAACCGGTTGGAATATTTAGCACAAAAAAAAACACTTATAAACTGTAAAAATAAGCTAGAAATTAAAGAAAATCAAATGACAGTTCTGACAATTTCGAACGATTTGACATGCCAAGCAACACAAAACAGACCAATTGGAATGCTGGACATTATTTTCCCCCCTGTAACAAAACAAAGTCCATTTGGACAATGACTAGTAATATATGCTCGAAGGCCTCGACAAGTCCAATTCACAAGCCAGACTCGTCAAACCACGTGCCATGAGAATTCGCCTTTTAGGCCATGTTGAAAACCTATAATAATCATAACTTAAAAGACGCTTTGACAAAAAAAAAAAACGTTGCAAAAATATGTCATTACCGGCAAGTCCATTATCTTCAAACAATCTATTCGCTGTGTGCAAGACTGGTAGCGCTCTCTGGTGACGGGATAGCGACAGTTCTCCTCATTCATTCCCGCATACTTGCTATACACCTCACACTCAACAGTTGAACTTGAAAATTATTTTTCAACAATTAAGTGTTGCAACAAGTTTTGTGTTCGCTGTTAGTTGATAGACTAACAAAAATTGTTTCTGTCGCACAAAAAGTAAGTAAATGACATAAAAATATTTGGAGGTTATGCATACGAAGTATCTGCGTTTTGAATGTCATAAATCAATGTAATTTGTCTGTATTTTTAGATGCTACATTTTTGTCATGAGTGTCATCTTGTACACTGACTTTGAGAAAATATCTCATGACATAAACTTTCAGCCTGAAACGCAAAGAAAAGGAAATATTGTCGGTACATAACTTGGGCTACTTTCTTCTTCTCGTTTTTTATTTCCAATAAAATGACCACTGCATATATAATCATTCCGTTTTGGCACCCAAGGTGAACCATCAGCGCTGTGGAAAAACCATTAAATCTATTACGTCATAAATAATTTATTTATCACTATTACTTGAGCATTCAAATACCGCTCCTACTTTCGATGTTTATGATATATATATACGACAGAGGTTATGTTACTCACTTTTTTCTTTTCACAGCTGCTATCCATTTCTTTCTTTGCTCCAATTTATGCACATACTTTGATTACTATATGAGGCAAGAGAGAGGTCCGACACGCCCAACATAGGGCGCGGCCATTTTGAACCCTGTGACACAGTTTACAGCTAAAGAATCAGATCGCTCACTCTGCGTCGGCACTTTGGATCTCAATGTTTCAGTTTATACACTGTGCAACTCGGATAATACAATATATGACACCGCCTATAATAAAACGGCAGTCTTATGCGTATCCTGAATGTGTATCCCCGGAGTGGATGTTATTTTGGAACTTTCAACTGGTCCGAGTGAGCTAACTGATTCTTTAGCAATAAACTGTGACTTCAAAAATAATATTCACTGACAGCAGCAAGCAAAATATCAGGTGCGTTTTAATCATCCGCTTCTGCTTCCGGAATTGTCGGTTTAGTCGTTTTAACCTGTCCGATTAAAACAAGAAAACTGACAATTCAAAAGCAGAAGCGGATGATTAAAACGCACCTATTAAAAATATTGTGCCAAGATGTAGGCAACACGTAATAAGGCATCAAAATGGCGAAGTTTTCTATCTCCTTTTAAAAGGCACTCAGAAAGCTGCGCAGTGCGACCATTCTCCGTATAGTAAAAGAAAATCAAAGTATGTGAATTTATGTGATGCGGTTGGAAACGTATAAAACTTACACACACTATTTTTGCTAGTGTTTTTACACTCGACAACACTACAATAACGACGACTCATTTTAATACCCAACACGAGACCCACAACACGCTGCCGCGCTACTACGATGATGTGGACAATCGCCGACTCCTGCCACCATAGGCGCTACGATAGCTCAATCTATCCCCTCCAAGCCAAATGCACACATCGAATACTGTATACCAGTATATATGTCCTATTTTCATTTTAATAATACACCCAGTATAGAAGCAAAGAAGAGAAGATGACAGTTTTTAATTTTGTCAACTTGACAGTATTAAACTAATTTACCTTTATGCTTTTTGGCAATCATAAGTAGAGCCTCTTTATTATTTAATTTTTATTTCGAGAATAATTTACTAAAATGGCTGAAAGTTCGACGATTCTATCGTTGACGCAATTATGCGATTTAGCACTAAACACCACAGACATAGGAGTAGTGAATTTTAACGTTTTGAGAGGACTCCTGCAGGTAATGATTAAACAACTGGGTCTACACGATACTAAAGTTGAATATCGTGGAGCGGATAGCGAAAAAATCCAATCGTACATGTCGAGTGCGAAGCCTGGTACGATAACATTGACCGAATATTCAGTTTCTTCCGATAAAAAAGAGCAACCAGCTAACGCTGCTGAGCAAGTTGTACTTATACAATCAGAACCTGGCACAGAAGCGCAGTTTACAGTAACGATGACAAAGGAATACTTTGATAGTATAGAACAGAAAATAATTACGATGCAGAATCAAATTAAAGAGCTACACGAATTACCAGGCAATCTTAAATTATTCGAGAATATGAAGGAAGGTGGTAATACGCCGGTACTTGATATGTTTCAAATACTCAGCGTTCAAAAACGAATGGATGCCGTTGAACAAGGCATGGAAAAAGTGGCTTCCATGATCGAAAGCGTCTTGAAAGGAACAAATCTTACTGATATAGTAATAGAGGGCGATACTCCTGATGCTAACGTCCTTAAACAGATTCTACAACGAATTGATGCTTTGGAAGGCGGTGGTGGAAGACCATCGAAACCCGGAAAACCACTAGAAGATACAGAATCTATTGCCAATTTAAAACAAGATGTAGCACTGATAAAAGAAATGTTAGGCACGTTTCAACCGCAAAGTCCTTTGGAAGAGACAGACGACAATAAATCAGCCGAGACTGTAGAAACCAAGGTAAACAATCTGGAAATAAAGTATACCGACTTCCAAGATCAGATTAACTCTTTGGACACTGGTTTTAGCAGACTAACCAGTACAATGCAAGAAAAAATTGAAGCTGTAGAAAAAGATATAGGAGAAATTTTAGAAAAAATGCAACTAATACCTCAAAATCCCGAAGGCGCAAGCCAGAGCACTCTAATCGCCGAAATGCGAACTCAGTTGCTCTCGTTACAAGAAGAATTAGAAAACGTTGTCGACAATGTTAAAAAACTAACAGACGAAACAGCCGGAAAAGAGCATACCATGGACATACTAGTGGAACAAATCGAATTACTAAAAACAGTCAAAGCGGACAGAGAAGATCTCGAAGATGCGTTAGCGGAAAAAGCTGACGCTTGTCAAATAAATAGAAAAGTGTCATACGAGCAATTTGATCAAGCTTGCGGCGATATGGCGAAGACTCTCGATGAAGCTATCAACAAACTCACGCAACAAGAACAAGTTTGGACTCTGGCGCTTACCAACATTCAAACCGAAGTCGGCACCAAGATGGACAAAAATGAGTTGAATCCTTTAAGAGATTTTATCAATAGTAAACTTAAAGCGCTTCAAGATAAGTTCAAGGCTTTGACTGCCATGAAGAAAGAACAAGAAGCTGCCGGAACTAAAACTAGATTCCTTAAAAATGTTAACTGCATTTCTTGTGATAATGAAGTAGTTATGCGAAAACACATGGAGCCTAATCATATGCCGCAGCCATATGCCTTACCGCCGCCTAAAAGTATGGGTCCGTATTTAGCTTACGAATTGGATCAACTCAGAAAACAACAAAAACCGACTAGTAAAAATTTGAATGTGTTCGAAAATGCTCTTTTAACTAGTCGAACGGCTAAAAGTCCCGATCATCTTTGTACCAGATATTGCGGCGGTAGTCATACAGTTACCTCGCCTCATCAACGAGTCACAAGATTAGGACACTTTTTAGAGCAATGGGGTCCTGAAATTGGACCAGTGAACGAGGTTCAAATCCGAGGCACTGACGGAAAAGTATATAAAGGTAGAGATGAACAAGAACTAAGAGCACGGGTTTCCGATAAAAATGTAGGAGATACAACTGATGCAACAGCAGCAGCTCGAGCTCCGGAAACAAAGTAAATATGACTAAATCAAAAATATTGTAAAATTAAATTTTATTTTGTTTAGAATTCAAATTATTGTAAAATAAATTTATCGTGGAGCAACAAATGTGCCAAAATTGCTTTAAAAAACACAGAATTTGTTAGTGTAACATTTCATTTCACAAATCGCTATGTATTGCAGTAAATAAAATGTATATAACGAGAGGGCAGCTCTGAAATATTTTACAAATAAAAAACTGTTTTCGACGGATATTTGTTTTTCAAATCAATGCTCTGAAAAAAATTATCCGATTATAAATATAAAAAAAACGTGTTTAGAGAGAGACAAAAGAGAGATCGGATAAGTTTCAACGTTTAAATTTGTCGCTAAAATTTTAATGTAATATACACACAACGTTTAACGCTATTAGTATGAGCGTCCGAAGGAGAGGGGGGAGGGAGCGATCGCCTCCTGGCTTTTCATTTTCTTACTTCATAATTATTTTTTAAAAAACTTTTAAAACAATAAAATCAATTAATTTGAAGATTTTTTTATTGGCCTCATCTGAATTTCAGCCGTACGCCCATGGTTATTAGCATAATTCGTAAATATTTCATGTAATAACCATGGACGTAGAAGGTAGGAAGACGCTGTCACGTGGTGTATAGTCTAGAGAAGAAATGAGTGCACTAATTTAATTTGCAAAACGTAGTACAGGTTCAATAGGTAAACATTTCATTCATACATCATCCTTCAATGCTTATTTGTAGTTGAAATGAAAATTTTAATACACAAGATCGGCCTAATAGAAATTTTCGTTTAGATTTAATCATTTTTCCATGGTTTTTACTGTAATAAACCTTTCCTTTTAACAGATAAGTCAGACTTTATGTACTCATAGCCGTATTCTAAGTATTTTGATTGATTCGGAATTTCGTATTAATATATATTTTAGTTATACAAGATTGGCGAGTGCATTCGAAAATATTGCAAGCACAAGTACGTGTAAACGACCTAGTGAACACATTATTTTTAGAAGAAAAAAATATACTTAATGTATTTCTTCGAAAAGACTGTATCACTTTCTGTGGATGAGATAGCCACTAAATGTGAGATCTATACTAGAATATATAACCAGTGTAAAACATTATTAAAGAAGATACAGTTATTGGAGGAGTCTCGCATCCGAAAAGCCCCAGGAAGAAACAAACAAGCAAGGGAATACAGTAACAAAAATTTGGTAAAACTAAAAATTAAGCCTTTATAGAAGGCGCTATATGTTGGGCGTGTCGGACCTCTCTCTTGCACCGTATAGTAATCAACGTATGTGATTGTATCACAGTTGATTAAAAGAGTCACTACCTACTAGGGTTGCCATCTGTCCTTTTTGCAAAATGTCCTTGTGACTTTTGAAAGCTTAAAATGTTATTTTTTACTATAAATATCTTTTTTTACAGCACATATCTTTGGAAGGGACATGGTTTGTACAAAAATATATAAGCTGAGGTCTTTTTTTTAGAAGCTCTGTAGAATGACGAGGATTTTCGGCGACTTATTCAGTTGTCAGATTTTCAGAAAGGTGGCAACCCTACTATCTACAACAAGATAGAGAAAATAAGTTATTTTAAAATGACTTGATTCTAACAATAACAGTTCTCCATGTACCATTTTATATGCCGTTACTTTATTTATATTATAGAAACTTATTTTGCAAAGTACGCCTATGGAATGTGACGTGATATGCCCATTTTTACGGCACTCGGTTTTTTAATGCCCGATAAACTGTTCTATCTGAAACCTGTCATTTTTTTATTAAGTCATGTTACGTTTCCGAAATATGATGCCGATTCAAAGAACGGTTGCTGCAGCTGGGTAACTCCTGAATCGTTTTTAAAGTATATATTAATAAAAGTATGGGTGTGTTTATTGGTCATCCTTATAATAATATGAAGGTTATATAAGTGCTTTATCACATGCTTTCAGAATCATGGCGAAGGTTCCCACAATCAAGTTCAATAACGGAGTAACATTCCCAGTCTATGGTTTAGGTACATGGAAAGTAAGTCAAATTTTACTACTTAACATATGTGCTGCTGATTTAATAATATTATTTAATTGATATATTAATAAATAAAAATGCAATTATAATCCACAATAACTTAATTTTGTATAAAAAATTATTTACTGCAAAATATACTACTTAGGGCAGGCCATGTCGAAGCTTGTTGAGCTTTCTTCTCTTGGTGAAGGGGGTTAACAGACGTAGGTTCCCTCTTGCACTATCTGTTGATTACACAGGGGAACAGCTGTTTTGGTGTCGAGGTTTTTTGAGCTGATTCTATACCCCTATATATGCAAAACATGACCCATTCTTATCAAGAGCCTTTACAAATTGCTTCATTAAGCCCATCTTTATATGTAACGGAGGAAGTATAATTTTTTCTATTTCAACCAAAGCGTCGTTAATGACATTCTTTTCCCCAACGTCCATGTTTTCTCTTTAAGGCCAATCTTTTCTAACCCAGTGGTGTGTTTTGTCCCAGAGGCACAAGGAACACGGATATTTCGTGTAACCACTTTGCTGCCCAAGAAGAAAGTTTACCATTTTTTAAGTCTACACAAATCATCCATTGATGTTCGTGATACTTTATCTTCTGCAAGACCAAAGCTACGGTATTATATTCTTCTTTCAGTTTCGTTGAGTGAGCTAGTGGTATTGAACCATATTTATTCTCATTATGTAGAAGGACACATTTTAAACTTCGCTTTGAACTGTCAATAAATAGGCGCCAATCATCTGGAATATATTCAGAAAGTCCCATTTCTTTCTTCAATTCATTAATTTCGTGACAAAATACAAGATTGTCTTCTTGAGAAAAGAATGGTAGCAGATACTTTTTTCTTGTACGGTAAAAGGTAATTTTGGTTCCTTGTTCCCAGTTTTAAGGCCTTTAGGAATAGTAGTACTCCATCGTGACCTGAAGATCGTTTACATTTTAATTTAGTTAAAAGAAGAGTTTCTAATTCTAAAGGTATAAAAGTCTTTAAAAATCGAGATAAGCGGTTTTGAATGTATTATACAATTTCACCATTAACGGCGGAAAGGGGACCTTAATCAATGGTATTAGATATATCCGATCTGCGCATCAGATTTTAAGTATAATCCACTCTAGTCAGGTTCAAAACCCCTTTCAATTTAACCGCACGATCTTGTCCTCTTATTTATCACTAATTTATTTATATAACACCAATAATTTATTATTTAAATTGCAGTCTAAACCTGGCGAGGTGACCCAAGCCGTGCAAGATGCTATCGACATTGGATACCGTCACTTCGATTGCGCCCATGTTTACGGCAATGAGCCCGAAGTTGGTGTAGCTTTGAAAGCTAAGCTCGCCGATGGAACCGTCAAACGTGATGAAATTTACGTCACCAGCAAACTTTGGAACACCATGCACAGACCCGATCTAGTCGAACCTGCTTTAAGAACCACAATGAAAAACTTATGTCTCCAATATTTGGACTTATATCTGATCCATTGGCCTTTCGCACTCAAGGTTTAGTTGAATATTGTTAAAAAAAGAGTGTTTCTTTTAAAACCTTTCATTAAGAGCCAGTCTTTTCACCTAATCCAAACTCTTGTTCCAATTTTACTACCCAAAACCTTTGCTCTTGCCATATATTTCTTACTCTCACTCCTAAAAAATTTGTCCAACATCTTACATCCATAATCTGTTTTACTTCCTTACTTTATAAAGTAAGCTTACAAGGATTTAACCTTACAATTCAGCTTAATATCCCAGTCCTAGGTTTCTATACTGCATTGTCATTAACAATGGTATTAATTTCTCTTATTAGCCTTTCTTACTAATTAAAACAGAATGATTGAAATATCTTAAAAATTATTATAGATATCAAATAATTAGGTGTTTTTTTATTTATATTTAGGAAGATGGCGACCTTTTCCCAGTCAATGCTGATGGTAGTACAGCATACAGTGATGTAGACTATCTCGATACATGGAGAGCAATGGAAGATTTAGTAAAGAAAAAACTTGTTAAATCTATTGGAATTTCAAACTTTAACAAACGACAAACTGAACGCCTGCTTCAACACGCGTCAATTAAACCAGTTACAAACCAAGTAAGTAAATGTTAAAGGAAATTGCCTTCGTTTCATAGTATATCTGACTTTTTTTATCAAGAGTGTAATAACAACACGTAAAATACCTTACTATTTAATTTTAGCAAAAAAAATCCCCTTTGAGTCTTAAAATACTACAATCATAGGATCTCAGTTTTACTGTACAATTTGCAAAATTTTCTCTAAATATATGTAGGCAGTACCAAAATTTCTGCAACCATTGCATCTCTGTCATTTTTCATTCTAGATTGAAGTGCATCCATACCTTAACCAACAGAAATTGATTGATTACCTTAAATCCAAAGATATTGTAGTGACTGCGTACAGTCCCCTTGGATCTCCCGACAGACCATGGGCCAAACCTGGAGACCCACAATTATTGGACGATCCCAAAATCAAGCAAATCGCTCAAAAATACAACAAGACAGCCGCTCAAGTTATATTGAGGTACGGACTGCAAAGAGGACTCATTGTCATTCCCAAATCGGTGACAAAATCTAGAATTGCAGAAAATTTCAAGGTCTTTGACTTCAGTCTTTCCAATGCTGATATGGCCTTGTTTAATACTTTTGATTGTAAAGGAAGAATCTGCCCATATGACGAGTAAGTTTTTCTTTTTATTATTGATCTTTAAAATATTTTACCGAGGGGCTTCGTTTTCTAAAATTGCTTCAATTTAATTTGGTGTGTTCTTTTTAATTTTTTATTGACCTATTGTTTTTTTTTTTTTTCAGTGCATACACACACAAGGACCACCCTTTCGTCAATGATGAATATTAAAATTTAAAAAGTAGTGTAAAAGTAAAGTTTCTCTGTTATTTTAACATGATATAAATATAAATATATTTTACGTGAATTTGTGTTTTATGTGTAATATCGGATGAAAAGTGTAGCTGTCAGGAAAATATTATTTTGTAGGTTACTCGAAATTAGTCAACTTACCTCAAGATTTCCAAGATGATAGGTACTTGTAATCTTTTATTATTTAAATGCCAATCAAATTGTAATAATAATTATACATTCCGGGAATATTTATAATTATTTTTATAGATACAAGATGTTCTAAATTTTTCATTTAATTTACACATTCCCATTACGGACATCGTGTTGCTGTAGTGGCTTGTAATATTTAAGGATTACAATGATTATATTTTTTCTTTAATATGTATTTTTTAATAAAAATATTAATTTCTTCTTTAAACAAAAAGGTTTCCGATTAATTACAATGTTGAAATTAAATTATTACTGTACATTCTTAAAACGGGTGAAGAGGCCCGGGCACCCACTTGCTCTGGAAAGTGATTTCGAAGAACTAAATGGGGTAATACTTGAGGCATATGAATCAAGCTGCCCCATTCAAAGAAATAGAACTAGTAGGGATGCTCCTTGGTGGAACCGTCATCTGTCAAACTTACGATCCGAAGTGCGGAAGCTCTATAATAGGGCCAAGCACAGCGGAGATTGGCAGAGCTACAACCGAGGCGCTTACTATCTACAACAAAGAAATCAGGAAAGTTAAACGTAACAGCTTTAGAAAATTCTGCGAGGATATTAACTCTACACCTTCGGCAGTAAAACTGCACAGGGCCCTGGCAAAAGGGAGAGTTGATACAGTTATGGCATTAAAGAAACCAAATGGAAGCTTCACGGAGAGTGAGGAGGAAAGAGCTCGCCTCTTACTCGAAACTCACTTTCCTGGAAGCACACCTTTTCTAATATGGGATACAACTAAGGTAAGCAGGCCACCAAGAGAGGCCGCTGTAGTGGCCAAACACATATGCAGCAGAAATCGGTTAAAGTGTGCCGTAAACACTTTTGAATCGTTTAAGTCTCCAGGTGTGGATGGAATATTTCCTGCCCTGCTTCAGCAGGCATAGGAGAAATTACTACCACACATAATCCGGCTATCCCGGAGCAGTCTGGAGCTGGGATATAAACCAGAAACATGGAGAAGGGCCAGAGTCACCTTTATTCCAAAAGTAGGGAAAAAGGATACCACACATCCTAAATCCTTCCGACCAATCAGCCTCACATCCTTTGCTAAAAACAATGGAGAAGGATGTTGATAATTATATCAGAACGGAAGTCCTGGAGAGGGTGCCACTCCACCACAACCAACACGCGTACCGAGCAGGAAGATCTACAGAAACTGCCCTGGAACAGTTGACTGACGTAATGCAGGATGCACTGACAAACAAAGAAACGGTCGTGTGTGCCTTCCTAGACATAGCTTTTGACAACACGCCACACGAATCTGTAAAAAGAACACTTGCATACAGAGGAGTAGATAACATCACATCCAAATGGATGGCTCAGCTGTTATCTACGAGAACTGCAAAGACACATATAGGGCAGGACACCATCTCCATCTGCACAACCAGAGGATGTCCACAAGGAGGAGTTCTATCCCCACTAATGTGGAGCCTAACCGTAGACGAAGTTCTATGCAGATTGACTGACCTCGGCATATCCTGTCAAGGTTATACCGATGACAAAGTCATATTTTCTAGAGGCAAGTTTAGTAATATCCTGTGTGATATAGTCCAACGAGGACTAGAACATACCAAAAGATGGTGCCGTGAAGTGGGACTTAGTATAAACCCTACAAAAACAACACTCAAGTCTTTTCAAGGAAAAGAAAACTTAATCTCAAAACCGTTAAATTAGACGGGATAGATATAGAATGGAAAAATGAAGTAAAATATCTAGGCCTAACCCTGGACAACAAACTTCTCTGGAACACACATGAGAAAGAAGTAAATAAGGCCACAAAAGTCCTAATGGTATGCAGAAACATGCAGGCAAACGATGGGGATGTAACCCAAACATATTGCGATGGATCTATACTGCAATAGTGAGACCAATTATCACTTACGGGGCTATAGCTTGGAGTAACAGAACCAATTTAGCTACTACGAGTAGCTAATATCTCAAAAGTACAAAGACTAGCCTGTGTTTGCATTACTGGTGCAATGAGAACCTGTCCTACGGCCGCAATGGAGGTGATTTTAAACCTCGCCCCTCTAGACGAAAGTTTACTTGCTTCAGGACTAAAGATACCAGGGACATGTCCCATGATGAAATGCTAAAGAAGTAGTTTTGTAAAAAACTTCAAAAACACAGAGCTATGTTGCAAGAAAGAATGGAGCCAAGAATCCATCGCGCTTGGAACCGAAAGACGTGCTATTCAGTGGTATACGGACGGTTCCAAAACCACAGAAGGAACTGTCCGATAGTCAAGCTGCCATCAAAGCGTTGAGCTCTTACGTAATCAGCAAAAATGGTCTGGAAATGCCTAGAACAATTGAATGAGCTAGGCGAGAAAAATAGAGTTACTCTCACTTGGGTCCCGGGACATAACGAGGTACAGGGTAACGAGATTGCAGATAGTCTTACAAGGAAAGGGGCTCAAACACCCTTTGTAGGACCTGAGCCGTTCTGCAGTATCAGCAGTAACATAATATTAGGAGAGATTAAAAAAGAATTGGGCAGTAGAAGAACCGATAATTGGAACAATCTTTTGGGGCTGAGACAGGCCAAGATACTTCTGGGTGAAGATAACCAGAAAAGATCGGAAGCCTACATCTGCCTGAGCAAGAACAGGCTACGTATTGTAACAGGGATCCTTACATTGCCGACTAAAAAGACATCTAAGTAAATTGAGAGTAGTAGAGGATAGTGAGTGCAGATTCTGTGAGGAAGAGGACGAAACCTCCATTCACATCCTTACTGAATGTGTAGTACTCCAGAATCCAAGGGCACTATATCTAGGAGGATATTAAATAGAAGAGGAAGATTTACCTAACTTGAAGCCACTTCAAATCCTACACTTCCTTGAGAAAATAGGATTGGAAGTGTCGTTATAGGCATTGAGACATTTCCTTGGTGCATTGGCGACAGAAGAGGGCACAATAGATCTTTTTGGTCCCAGTGTATTAACACCCCATTCCCAACATAACGTATCCTTCTATTTTCGAATCGACGGTCAGACGATAATTCAAAAAAATCGTAATGTAATAATTGTTAAATAGGTTTCAGGGTTGGCTCGGGCCCTCCTAAACGTTGGGGCCCTCGTGCAACGCACTACTTTGCCTTATAATAGCTACGCCCCTGGGTAGACTGTTTTCAGTCGAATATAGGCCGCGTTTGAGAATCCACATCGGACGAATCTTAGATGTAGTAAATCTTTGATCACGTGATTCAGTAGCTTTGTTCGGCTTACCAATTTTATAACGTTTCAGAACTGTGTGAAATTAATTGCGCACTAAATTACACACGAAACAGTCAATCCTAGAGTGTCCTACGGAGAAACCCGAACACGTAAATTTAAATGCGCATGATTATAACGATTTTAAACCGTCTTCAAAAGTAAGCCGAACAAAGCTAATATACGTAAATGTAATGGGACAGATGTGTCCGATGTGGATAAAAAAACGTTTGAGATGTAAAAATGCATCCGATATGGATTCTCAAACGCGGCAAAACTAACTATAACACTCTGTACGCTTAGTTCTAATAAAATAAAAATCGATTTCAGCAAAAATCGACGCTACATATTCGAACAACTCGAGACTATCATCGATTTTCACGAATACTACATATATAGGAGCGTTCATCCGGTTTTATTTTACTTTTAATTGGTCAATCGTGGTTGGATCGAGAGCGTTATATAACTGTTTTATCACGTGCTTTCAGAATCATGGCTAAAGTTCCCACTGTCAAGTTCAATAACGGACTAACATTCCCAGCCTATGGTTTAGGTACATGGAAAGTAAGTCAAATTTTTTTTTATAGTTAGTACCCAACATATATTTTAGAGAAACATGTGTTATTATTGTGTTATTCATTTATTATTGAAATTATAATTAATTCTAATTCACAATAACGTAATAATTTTAGTTCTGTTTTGTATATAGTACAGGCAAATGTGTGGGTTTTTATAAATATACCCGTTGTGAGGTTCCCAAAATAGTTTACCGCTGAACAATTCATGCAATTATAACATTGCAGTTTTAATAGGTATAATGAAGGTATTTTCGGTGCAATGCTAAGCAAAAAAAGTGCCTATAACAGAGTTTTAAATGCATTTGAATCTTGAATCCATCTATTCGTGATAGATACCGTGAATGGAAAAACCAGAATTATATTAATCGATCCCCTTTACTCGAAGATGATTTTAGTCGTGTAGAGAGCCCTTACAAAAAATTATCTCTAATTTTTCAATTTCCATACGTAAGTTGGCTACTTTTTTATTATTAGTTTTATCAAAAAAATATGTTCTTCATAAAAAATTGTGGATGGTTTAAAACCCAAAAGTCAAAAAAATAATTTTTGATAAATTACTACTGACAATTGATTTTCGACGCAGGAATAAATGAATTGGATTTGGTTTGTCTCAAAATAATTGATTCTTGTAGAGATATCGTAGCTCATACCCTGTTCCATACTTTATCGATCCTTCGAATAGCCTAAAAATGGCTTGGAAGATAAAATATTACGGGGGTCTCAAGTATTTTACTTCACTGCAGAATAACACTTAAAGAAATTATTATTGGAAAACATAAACCGGGTGACGTTGAGACCAGGGCCACGTTAATATATCTTTTATTTATGACTATCTCGCGAAATAGTCGTCCTTGATTAATATTCTGCTAGTTTTGTTGTTGCTAAATTTCTAGAACATTTTACAATTTGATACTACATAATTTTGGCATTAATAATTCATTGATTAATGTCAAAAATTATGTCTCATCAAATTGATATTAAAATATTCTCGATTTAGGTTCAACAAAAATTGTTGACTATTATCAAGGTCTTGGTATATTACCCTTGATTAAATTTTCGGTTAAATTAAAAATTAACCTGTAATTTAGGTTTTTTATTAAATTAAACCCATTTTAAACAATTAAGAGAAACAAAAATAAATAGTAAGACGCCACTCAATTCACATTTTTATTGTAGTCCGAAAGCTTGGAATAAAAATAAGAATTGCCAATCACTCAAAAAATATTCCTAATTTATTTTCTAAGCTATTCACAGAGACTATTTTAAAATAACTTATTTTTGAAATAAATTGGATATAAAACAATAAAGAAAAAATTTAGGCAAACATTAAATATTAGCCCATTGTTTGTAGTTCTTATAATACCAATATTATCTATCTTGAAAATATATTTAACGAGATACGGTTTTTTTCATGATACAAGGTTGAATAAATTAATTTATGGTTATGCAACATTCTAATGTGGTAAATTCAAATATAAACTCTAACCTAACGAATCAATTTTTTACTACTACCACTACCATAGAAGAAAATAAATTATTTCAAATTTGTATGGGTCTATTTAAGATTTTTAATTAGTACATATTTTAATGAAACAATAATTCAAAACTTTTCTATTATTTATCTAATAATTCGAATTAAAAATAAAATACAATGACTCGAAAAATAATTTTGATATGAATAAGGTACTTAATAAGTGATAAGTCACTTGTTATAGTATTCCTAGTACGTACTGGTACATATTATTGTAGAACAATGATTATGATACTGATTAAAATTTGCTTAACTTTTAAAAACTCTTGTGTAGTTAACATATTTTTAATGTAGAAATAGTTTATTTACATTACATTGTTTTATTATGTATGAATAAAGCATACAAAACTTATAATTTTTTGATGAGTCCGGTAATAACAGAAGTTCTTTTTACACCCAATTGGCAAAAAAAAGATAACATAAAATATGCTATTTTTAACTGTTGAAAAAACTGTTTAATGGTGACTTTATAATATTAACGATTTTATGTTTCTCGTATAATAAACATAGGCGTAGCTCAAATGACAGGAATGGCTACGGCCACACCTAAAATGATCGGTGCCCCCTTTAGAATTTTTTGATATAATATGTATGTACTATAATAATATATATATTAAATACAACTCCAGATACAAAAATTACAGTCAAGATATTAAAATGAATCATAAAAACCATTAAAAATCGATGACTTTTCACCGCAGTGGCGCATCCAGAGTTTAAGCTTGGGGGATAGTGAAAATATTGACTTTATTTCTGATGTAATTTAAAAACAAAACACATAATACAAGTAAATTTAAGAAGAACAACTTTTACATGTATAATAAATATTAAAAACATTAAGGTGATTACAGCACCCCCTTATAATTATCGGACAAGCATATCTCAAAAAGTAATTTTTTTTAAATTAAAATTTTGGCAAAATAAATTAGACAATAATATCTAGAATATGCTTATATTTTAAAGTTTTAATTATTTCCAGTTTCCAAGAAAAATTTTGAAATATAATGAAAAACGCCTCGTTAAGCTAAAAGGGGGAGTACAAACACCAAGTTTATTTGATAGTGAAATCTGAGTATAATTATAACAATAATAATTATTATTTATAAATAAGTGACAAATTAAATTTTATATAAGTGACAATTCTGTCAAACTAATTGTCAGTATAGTTTTTATTTATCTACATTAAATATACATTACAATGAGTTATTTTTGTATAGAATCGATAAATAATATTTTTATTTGGTCCACATTTTGAATAAAAAATTAAACTTTAATCAAATTTTATCAAACTAATTTAATAACGAATATTAAAACTAAAATTGTAAATGTGTTGATGGAGGTGAGACCAGGACGTTTGACTGCCATGCAAGAGGATTGGACTGGAGACTAATTGAATTAAATCTTTTTTTTTTCAAGTTTATCTTATTTTATAAATTAATAAAAGTTTTAAAATTTGTTATTTTCTCTTAATAAATTTTTGAAATTTGTAGATTTTCGTTAGTAGACCCTAGAAAAATTATACTGTACAACTGCATATCCACTATTGTTGCACAAACTACTATTTTAAATCAGTATATCAAAAAACACTTTTGCGAATAAAATTCTGCATATTTCGTAATTAAAATCTACTATAAAATAATAAATAATATGAAATAGAATATTTTGAAATCATGATAAGGTTCGATAATAAATTATTGAAATAGGTTATTTATTAGAGTCAATAAGTTATTAAAAAAAAAAACTTTAAAGTAAGATTACATTTAATATTTTCTTATAAATTTAAATCAAGAGAAACAGATAACGTTATGCAATAAAATTAAAATTATTTTCATTAAAAACATAATGAAACTATTTATTTTTAATCAACATTATATTAATTTGTAATAATAATAAATAGTAGGTTAAGTTTCCCAAGGGTATATAATAAGCGGCTATTGATTAAAACAGTGCGCACCAGTTCACTATACTCTGATATTGAAGAAGGTGATTTCTCCCTGTTCACGTACAACAATAATACTATACCAGAGCATAATGAATAGAATCACGCGCTTAAAACTGCAAAAGTTATCGGTATCACGTGCCAACTAGTGATAAATGCATATTTATTGCCAATGAATTACGCCAGTGGCGTATAAAAACTATTGGAAAATTAAATGCGGTAATAGTAAATAATATATGAAAGTAGGTTGGTTATCTATTTTTGTAGTAATAATCATTTATGTTTATAATTTTGTTTTGTTTATTGTTAAAATATGTAATTATTATGCCAGTGGCGTAGAAACACTATTGGAAAAATTAAATGGGGTATTATACTAGAACAAAATATTGAAGAAGTGCACCTTAAAACTGCAAAAGGTATCGTTATCATATCAAAATGCACTCTTCCAGTGTCGCAGAAATACTATATTGGCAAATTAAATGGGTATTTGTGAATATTACTAGATGAAAGTAGGTTGGTTATCTATTTCTGTTATAATAATTCATCTATGTTTATAATTGTATTTTGTTTATTATAAAAATATGTAAATTAAGCGTGGTATCACTTACTTGAATTCTAAATCTATGAAGTTTCGTAATCCATTGATTTTGCAGAACTATCACTGGAATCGTCTTTATCGTCGGAACTTAAAGTTATGACTAAAGGTTCAACTACCGTTTCGATCATACCGTCCAAGCGCCATATATTATTTTCTTCCTTAATTACATGGGAAATAGCATTCTGCCAATCTTCAGGTTTTATACGTTCTATACCGGATTGAATTCTTAATACCGTAATACCACGATCACGAGCCATTGTGTCGACAACATATTGAATATATTTATGGCGGTGTTTCTTTATTAGGTCCATTAATTCCACTTTAGGCATCTCCTCAGTAAATGTTATTGCTTTATCCTGCAGCCAGGTTTGCATATCCGCTTTCCTACTGGACATTATCGGAATGCGTTCAACTCGTCGACTGTGATAAGAAGCGTTATCTAGTACAATAACTGAATTTCGTTCTACACGCTGTAATACTTCAGTGAACCATTTTTCAAAGCATTCCGCATTCATGTCCTCGTGGTAGTCTCCTGTTTTTTTCGATATAAACATAAGAGCTCTATTTTCCAAAAATTCACTGTTACTTCCAATATGGGTAACAATTAGGCGCTGTCCTTTACCTGATGGTGCTTTCAAACCTGTAGATAATCCCTCTATAAAAGCTTGGCGATGACTAGTTACAGAAGTATCTTAGATACCGTGTGTCCAGTATTTTGTATTAGTTGTACCCACTACAGAAGAATTAATAATCTTTATTTTTACTTATGATCTTTATCAAATTTCATTATTTAAACAAGCTAGTTGTTCCTTGTTGATAAAATATTTGTAATTATTAAGTACGTACTTAAAAGTTAAGCATCAGCAGATTGAAGTACTTATTTCAGTAGGTTTAGGAGTTATCTTATTCAAATATTCGTTTTTTTTAGTACAGCACTGACTTATTTAAACCACAAGTTTTCCAAGGACAATTGATACTCGATTGGAATAGAATCTCGTTTATCTTATCGTATATCATTCATAATTTTCCATATTGGTAACAGCAAAATATGACGATTTAATCTCAAACAGATTAAAAATTCTTGCAGTTACTATATGAACAATTATTAATATGTATATCAGTTTCCTAATCGACAAAAGGATTAACCTGTCAGCGTCAATCTTGTTTTAGTTGGTGACAATTTCATGACCGTTCAATTACCGGCAAATCCAAGGGGAGGCAAAGGGACAATTGCTCCCCTTTAAGACTAATCCTAGTAATTGATAGCTTAGATCTTTGAAATCTATTGAAAAAACAGCCAACGTTATAAACCCAGGTAATTGCTACCCCTTGGAAAGGTTCTGGAAGCGCCCCTGCATTCAGTAAATTTGACTTTTTGATTTTTATTAAACAAAAATAAGCTGGGAATACTTGTATCTAGGATAAAAAATACTCAGAATATACTCGACACTTTCAGATTCTTGTTTACTTCTATCTAAAGACAAAAGAAGTTGAGTAACTAGGTTAGTATTTTGATTATTTTTTTAAAGCAAAAAAATGCTTAGTCCTACCTTAAAGATTGAATAATATATTTCATGCGCATATCATCACTTTTTAAATACCAATTGATCATAATAGGACAAAAAATAAATTAAGTAATTTATTCCTATTAACGCCAGGCACCTTTATTGTGGAATTTTTTTTAAGGAGGATGTCTGATGACTAATTTAGGCAAGCGTCGGTTAATTTGTTTTGTCTAGGGGACGTTCGCGGAAATTTTTCAAAGCGGCAAATGTCGCTTCAATCGAATTAAAGAACAACATTGTAAGTTGACGATGTAGACATAATTTACTACAAAGATACTTAAAAAATTAAGACAAAATAAAAAAAAAATAGAAAAACGTGTAAAAATCAGTTCCTAAAAGTTTCATACGGTGTATAAGAAAAATAGGTATAATTATCTACTGTGTGTACTTAATTGTAAACACACATGGCTTATTTTTTATTTGTTCACCTAATAATTTATGGTACGTATTTTAAAGATAAAATTCTTATACTTAATCTATTTACTTTGTACATATCAGTCCTGCTAGTGCAGGAAAATAGTTCTAGAACAAAATTAATGGAAATATAAACGGAATCTCGTATATAACATTATAAATTAATATGCTTATTTAAAATATTAAACCACTAATAATTTTAATTCAATAAATATATAATCATGTATTTTTCCAATATCATTTTGATATCTATTTTTTTTTGTTTTAATTTTGAAATAATATAATGTGACATCTTTTGTAATCGCAATGTCAAAGTGACTTATGTAACTAGTTAACTAGTATTATTTCTTCTTCTTTCTGTTTTCTTTTCTCCTTTCTTTTTAATCTGTATCTTTTCTTCAAGTCTACTAGTATTCCCATTATTGCACTATTCCTTTCTTCCTTTTTTCCACTATTTGTCTGCTTTTCTTCTTTCTTTTCTATTTTCTAATTCTTGTATTTTAAATTTTTCTCTTTCACCTTATTTTATTTCTTCTACATCTTCGCTTATTTTGCCTTCTCGACTTCAAAAAAGGAGGAGGTTCTCAATTCGTCGGTATATATTTTTTTATGTATGTTCAGTGATAATTCTTTAACACGGTGATCGATTTCAATGATTCTTTTTTTGTTAGTAAGAGGGTACCTCAGGGGAGGTCCCATATACATTTGGTCAAAATCTAATAATTAGGTCCATGAGAAAATCCTCAAACTCTTCATTTTTTATGTATGTTTGACTATAATTATTTACCACATTGTCCCATTCCTATGATTCTTTTTTTGTTAGTAAGAAGGTACCTCAGGGGAAGTCCCATATAAATTTGGTCAAAATTTAATAATTGGGTCCATGAGAAAATCCTCAAACTCTTCATTATTTATGCATGTTTAACGATAATTATTTACCACCTTGTTCCATTCCTAAGATTATTTTATTGTTACTAAGAGGATACCTCAGGGGTGGTCCCATATAAATTTGGTCAAAATCTAATAATTGAGTCCATGAAAAAATTCTCAAACTCTTCATTTTTTATATATGGTTAGCGATAATTCTTTACCACCTTGTCCCATTTTTATGATTCTTTTTTGTTAGTAAGAGGGTACCTCAGGGGAGGTCCCATATAAATTTGGTCAAAATTTAATAAATGGGTCCATGAGAAAATCCTCAAACTCTTCATTTTTTATATATGTTTAGCGATAATTATTTACCACCTTGTCCCATTCCTATGATTCTTTTTTGTTAGTAGGAAGGTACCTCAGGGGAAGACCCATATAAATTTGGTCAAAATTTAATAATTGGGTCCATGAGAAAATCCTCAAATTCTTCATTATTTATGTATGTTTAGCAATAATTATTTACCCCCATTTCTATGATTCTTTTTTTGTTAGTAAGAGGGTACCTCAGGGGTGGTCCCATATAAATTTGGTCAAAATCTAAAAATTGAGTCCATGAAAAAATCCTCAAACTCTTCATTTTTTATATATGGTTAGCGATAATTCTTTACCACCCTGTCCGATCTCTATTATTCTTTTTTGTTAGTAAGGGAGGTTCCTCAGGAGTGGTCCCATATAAATTTGGTCAAAATCTAATAATTGGGTCCATGAAAAAATCCTCAAACTCTTCATTTTTTAAATATATTTAACAATAATTTTTTACCACCTTGTCCGATTTCTGTTATTCTATTTTGTTAGTAAGGGGGTACCTCAGGGGTGGTCCCATATAAATTTGGTTAAGATGTAGTGATGCACGATTTTGAAGTCGTTTTTTTTTTTAAATTACTTATAATACGTGTACACACTATTTAACTTCAAACTAAACACTTTGCCCATCACTGTATCATACTCGTACTGGAAAATTAGATTACTCGTCACATGAATCGGAATCATTTTAATGTTTTTGAAAAATTTAGAGGAAAATTTTGGAAATATTTATAGAACAAGAGCAAATTACCAATTATGGTGGTCAAGGAGAGTGTGATAGCTCTTATCTACAGTTAATAATAATATCAAGGTCATCTTTAAAAATACCTATAATTATATTATGAGTAGTACCCAGCTCGCAGTGAAACTGGTATCATGTTTAAATAACCAGTAACGAAATGCCTTATTTAATGTAATGAAAATTTGGAAATATATAAATATATTTCCTTTTCATACACACTTTAAATACAAATTCTTTCGTTTCTTACCCAGTGTGCACACACCGCATACTTTCTTGATGTATCATTTTTCGTTGTTATGTAAATTTATTGTGACATTTTTAAATATTTTTTTAAATTATACTCTACTTTATCATTCATTTATAAAATACCAATTTTCTATGTATAACCGTTAATTTATTATTTAAATTGCAGTCTGAACCTGGCCAGGTGACCCAAGCGGTAAAAGATGCTCTCGACATTGGTTACCGTCACATTGACTGCGCCCATGTTTACGGCAATGAGCCCGAAGTCGGTGTAGCTTTGAAAGCTAAGCTCGCCGATGGAACCGTCAAACGTGATGAAATTTACATAACCAGCAAACTTTGGAACACCATGCACAGACCCGACCTGGTCGAACCTGCTTGTAGGACCACATTGAAAAACCTGGGTCTCGAATATTTGGACTTGTATTTGATCCATTGGCCTTTCGCACTCAAGGTAGGTAAAAAGTATTTCGAAACTAACACCAGATAATAAAAATATTATGAAAATTAAGAGAAATCGTGTATAAAACCTTGAAAAAGCCTTATATTACATCCTAATTTTCCTAAATGTGGAATGATGTCCCCTTATGCAATGTCTCATGAAAACTATGCAAACTAACATATGATGTAACTTATGCATTAATTTCATTGGATACTTTAAGCTTATTACTTTTTTAAAATAGCATTTATCAATCAATATATCGATTATATCAATCGATTTATCGATTAGAGCTAGGTTATTCAACACAAGATCAAAAAAGTTATTTTTTTAATACTTTTATCATTTAAAGTCGAAAATACAATTGACCTTTTTATAATCTTTAAAACCTTGGAATTTTTTTCGGTGGTTGTTATCTATAAAAAAATACCTCGGGTTATCAGTTATTAACACTAAGATAATCTTTGTTACACCTGCTTCATATCGCTGCTGTGCATAATTTTATATAATTCATATTTATTGTTGAAAGTAATTTATATAAAAAAAGATTTTTAATCTATGTCATAACTTAAATATTTATTTTTTATTCAAATATCATACTCCTATTTTCTTATACTCCAAAGCTACATCACTACTCTTCTTTTTTACATATTTGTTAATTGATTTTTTTTATTCACTGTTTTCAACAATTTTCTTATTTATTTTCCTACCTGAGCAATATTTTTATTATCCTTAATACTCATCCTGACAAAAACTGTTTTGCTTCCATAGTTATGGATGGATTCAGCTTAATTTTCCAATCTGTGAAGAGTATAATAGTGTACAATAAAGTATAAAGTATAATATAATAAAGTAGAGTAGTATAATAGAGTAAAATATAATAGAGTAGAATATAGAGTATAATAGAGTGTAGAGTGGTATTAATTTCACTCTTCAGCCTAGTCTTGTACCACCGCAGTTATTCGTTGCATTGACTACCGACCTTCAGCCTCTTTTTCCAGCAAAATGTGAAGAGAGTTTGGGTCCACCATGGTCTTCATGGCTCCCGTCGGTGTGGTTGCTAACTATTATACAGAGTGGACCACTTAAAACAGTCACCCTATTATTTGGTAGTATTCATTGGATTTTAAGAAAATAAGGGGTCTATTAAACTGTGAAGAGTATAATATAAAATGACAAGCATTCTATTTTCTTTCATTAGCTTTCTTTTTAGTTAAAAAGGTATCACTGAGATCACTTGAAAATTACAGATATTAAATAAGTGGATGTTTTTTTTTAGGAAGATGGCGACATCTTCCCAGTTAATGCTGATGGTACTACCGCTTACAGTGATGTAGACTATCTCGATACTTGGAAAGCAATGGAAGATTTAGTAAAGAAAGGCCTTGTTAAATCCATTGGAATCTCAAACTTTAACAAACGACAAGTTGAACGCCTGCTTCAACACGCCACAATCAAACCAGTTACAAACCAAGTAAGTAAATGGGGAAACAGATATAGTTAGTTTGTCTGGCTGGAAATGATCAGTAAGGAAGTAATTCGTTTTTGCTTTATCAATTTATTATTTATCTTTCTATGCAGAAATTTTCATAGAGAAAACATGATTTTCTATTTGTGTCTAATATTTTTGAAGAAAATCGTATACATTCTTTTCCATTATCTTAGTTTTGCCCTTTTAGAAAGCACTTACAATTACAATTCTATCAATTTTAAACATATTTTTTTATTAATAAACTTTTTAAATTATGATATATATGTATAAACTATCATAAAACTAAAGATAATATTGCTTCCTTTTTTGAGTAGATAACCAAAAATAAATATAGCATAAGATTATAAAAAATATAAGACCAAAATTTGTAGATAAAATTAAAAAATAAAATTTTTTATATTTGTTGTAGCATGCTCTAAATATTTTTTAATCTCAAATTTTACGTATATAATACAGCTAAATAATCGCTACTTATCACACGATGATGATAAATAATGCCTTATCTGTAGAAAATGGATCTAATTACCAAAGCCAAAACCTCAAAAAAAAAAAATAATATCTTCTTTTAAAATATATTTTTAATTGTTTACTATTGAATCGCCCTGTATAAATTATGTCGTTGAAAATCATTTTACTAGCTATCCGATGATGTATGACAAATAGAAGGTTGATATTTTTTATTGTTGACTAGAAAAGGTGTTAACAGTTTGACAGCCTGAACATATCTATGAAAAGTTGTTAATTATTCATTCGGAAATCAAGGTCAATCAATATGCAAATGTAGTTCCATCCTAGCTTTCTACAAATGTATAGCATCCCTAGCAGGGTAAATACATTCCCACCTCTATTGGAATCAGCGCCGTTCCGATGGGACGAAGAAAGACATTCATAAAGTTAGGTCTGTTATAACAACGTTCATAAAGCAGTCACTAACACCAGTAGATCATTTGGCAATCCCAATAATCTACTGCGCAGAATCCTGTCAGTGACTGGTTTTTCGATACACGCCATTTTGATTTGGCGTTTAAAAAATTATTTCAAAATATTTTATAAAAATTCAATTTAATTCAAAGACTCACCATTTGAGACCGTTCATTGCTGCTTTAAACTCCGCAGTCTCCGTCCCATTAGTTGATCCAGTCTTTCTTTCTTTTTTTCCATAATATCCATTATTTCCAGCAGATTTTCCGATAAAATCGCGTCCGGAAAATCTTCTATTCCCGACGACATTAATGATCATCGTATCATATTCAATTCTATAGAAACCCTTTGATACGTTAGATTTTTCAAAATAGACGTATCGCAGGCCAGTATATTCTGCAGCCTTGTCCATTTAATCCTAGAATGTACATCCGAAGACGCTACAATGTAAATCAAAGGTCTACATTGACCATCAGAGGACATATACATTCTAAGATTAAACGTCTTTATTGTTAGAGGTGAAATGAACATGAGCTCAAACCATTGATATCGTGCTACCGATTAACTCGAAATTATTGCGGCGATTTAAATTTTTTACGGATATTCGCTGAAACAAAAAAAAAACAATAATTATTAAGAATTTTGGAAAATATCAAAAGGAGAGGATAATATTAAAGGAACCTAAAAAAGACCTCCTTTTCCGCAATATTTAATGATTTATAAAAAATATTATTAAGATTATCAACTAATTTTTATAAGAAATAAATTTTAATATTTGTGTTTTTACCGTGTTTTTAATACTTCAAGTAAATTCTGGTCTAGAAAGCAATCAATATATTTTTTGTCTTTTGCAAAACATTTATGATTAAGTTTTGTTAAACTTGATTTTCTTTATTAATTTAATTGTTAAATGTGTAGTAGACTAATGCCACTAAGTTTTAACGCTTTCCAAGAAGGGCTTTATCAAACTCATACATAGCAATCAAGACTACCCTTGCTATAAAGCAATGTTAGAAATAATTATCTTAGCATACACATTATTTTGATAATGAATACTTTGTGACATTTATGATTTGAATTTCCTAGTTCTTAATTTTAAGATGTGTTACTTTGTCATTACTAAACTGTTATTAATTAATAACTGTTCCTTTTATGCCTAATGACGGGTCTTAATCTAAAACCAGTTGTCCTTTAAAATTTGTTATTAATAAATATGTGGTACAGATTTTGAATCAATTATTTCATTTATTTTACATATACTTCTGTATGTGGGAAATATAATTTGTATTCTAACTGTATGTATTTTTTCTCTATAATTAATTCATTTTTCATTTTAGATTGAAGTACATCCATACCTAAACCAACAGAAAATGATTGATTTCCTTAAAACCAAAGATATGGTAGTGACTGCATACAGTCCCCTTGGATCTCCTGACAGACCATGGGCAAAACCAGGAGACCCACAATTATTGGACGATCCCAAAATTAAAGAAATCGCTCAAAAATACAACAAGACACCCGCTCAAGTTGTATTGAGGTATGCACTACAAAGAGGACTCATTGTCATTCCCAAATCGGTTACAAAATCCAGAATTGCAGAAAATTTCAAAGTCTTTGACTTCAGTCTTTCCAATGATGATATGGCCTTGTTGAATACTTTCGATTGTAATGGAAGAATCTGCCCATTTGACGAGTAAGTATTTTTATATTATTGAATAGTCTTTAAAACATTTCTTAAAATTAACTGTATTGGTTCAATGTGCAAAACATATTGCTATGAAAATTTATGACCACCAAATATGCCACAATTTTGACAAATAATTAAATTGTTTAATTTTCCGTAATCTAATATATTAGCATTAACTTATTGGCTTATTCTTTGAGGAAAATTTTAATTTTATTTCAATTTTTTGTTAACATAATATTTTTTTTTTCAGTTCATATACACACAAGGACCATCCTTTCGTCAACGATGAATATTAAATCCAAGTGTAAACTTTGTTATTTTAACATGAAACAAATATGAATATATATTTTAAGTTAATTCGTATTTTATTCCATAAATAAATTAGTGTTAAAAGCAGAATTTTTATTTAATTGCTGCTGGTGTATTTGAAATAAATATTATTTCTTCTAACTTCAAATGGGGATATTTTTACTTTCCTATCTGTATACTGTATACAGATATAGGAAAGTATAGGAATCATGATTTTTTTCAACCTCGAGTTTTCGACGGATTTTTACGTTTTGAGGTCCCCTGAATCCGTTTTGACTATTTTCGCGATGATGTCTGTGTGTCTGTATGTCGCATAACTCATGAACCGATACACAGAAAAACACCAAATTTTAAACTTAAGCTTTATTCCAGCGTCTAATGAACTGATTAGATTTTGGACAGAGTCGGAACATCTGGGGGGTACTTTATAGGTGGTCATTTTTATATTTTATGGAATATATCTGTTATTTACGTTTGGAGAAGAAAATTCTTCAAATAAAAGTTACTTCTAATAAAATTATCTATAATTTTTGTTCTTTACAAAATTTTCCTAAAATGGTCCGTATTCGAGAAATTTGACAAAATGTAAAAAAATAATTTTTTATAAAAATTGTTCAAATAAAAGTTGTTTGTAATATAATTCTCTATAATTTTTATCCTATACATAATTTCTCTAAAATGGACCGTATTCGAGATATTTGACAAAAAGTGTAAATCTAGAATTTTGAAGAAAACTCAAAAACGGATAAAGAAAAAAACATTAAATTTTAAACTTAAGGTTTATTTCGGCCTGACGTGAAATGATTAGATTTTGTACAAAGTCGGAACATCTGGGGGGTACTTTATGGTAGGCCGTTTTTATATTTTATGGAATATATCTGTTATTTATGTTTGGAGAAAAAATTGTTCAAATAAAAGTTACTTCTAATAATATTATCTATAATTTTTGTTTTATGTAAAAATTTCCTGAAATGGTCCGTATTCGAGAAATTTGACAAAATGTGCAAAATTCTGATTTTTATGAAAATTGTTGAAATAAAAGTTGTTTGCGATATCGATCTCTATAATTTTTGTTTTTACATGATTGTTCTAAAATGGACCGTAATGGAAAAATTGTAGGAAAAGTGCTAAATTAAAATTTTTCACTATTTTCGTTTTCAATGAATATCTATAGAAAAATGTTTCGAGGTAGATGTATGTGGAAAATGTATATATTTAGTTTTTCCTCCTCTAAACACTTATAGAGGTGCTGCAATAGGTTGTACAAAATAACCGGAAAAAGCCTGTAATAACTAGATAGGAAAGTCATGTGTTGGACACATCAGATTTTTTTATTAATTTACTTAGGATTATTTCCACCTCTAGTCGTTAATAAATAACCAAAAATTAAAATGACATTGTTATTGAAAAAATGTCATTTTAAACATAGTTTTTTTTCTTAACTACTAGCGATGAAATTGGTCCTTAGTAAACTGTCAAATAATTACCAGTATTCAAAATTCTAATCTCACTTCTTCAAATGACACTTGTTAAATTTTTAGTTTAATTTTGTATTGGTTTTTAATCTAAATTCAGTGATTACAGTGTTCCAATTTTTACCAGAAAATATAAAATGTTAATCAACATTTCCGAGCAATACTTGATAGGGGGTGATAGGAACATTTAAAAATTAGTAGTGTCTCTAAGGACTTAACAACTCCTAGAAAGGGTTTAATGAAAATTGGGCTTTTAAGAATAAGGGAGAACAAGGAGACTGAACACTTTTCAAGTGCCTATATCTCTAAAATCCATAAAACTATTCTATATAAAATACAATTTGTTTTTTTTGTATGAAATTAAAATAAAAATGTCTACTTGCTAACTGACACCGTTAATTAAATATAGGTGCATAAATAATGTCCTAATTCTCAAAAATACATGAAAGAAATGAAAAATACAACTGAAAAACTTATATTAAGCTAAACTCTATCAAGTCAATATTGAAGTACTGGGTATCCAAATAAAAAAAGACCTTTAACTTGTTTTTATATGAAATTAAAATAGAAATGTCTACTTGCCAACTAAAACCAGTAATTAAATATAGGTGCATAAATAATGTCCTAATTCTCAAAAATACATGAAAGAAATGAAAAATACAACCAAAAAACTTATATTAAGCTAAACTCTGTCAAGTCAATATTGAAGTACTGGGTATCCAAATAAAAATGACCTGTAAATTTCCATGTAGGAGACTTTGGACAGTCCTGTTCATTGTCTACTTGGCATACACACAAACAATTAAAAAAATAAATAAATTGCAAAGGTTTACTATATTTGAGCGTTTTTTTCACATATCCTCAAATTATAAACATATAAGAAGCACCTAAGGAAACAGAAGTTCAAACAAAATGTCCATTGTCAAAATAAATCTTCCAATATTAAAATGCAAAATTACATCAAACTCACAGTCTTACAAAGCTGATTGCCACTCACCTCATAACGTAATGACTTCTTAGGGATATTGATTTAATACATTATCATAGAGCCAGTGTTTATCTTTAACAATTTCCCAGGTTTTTCCTTAAAAAAGTAGAACTGTGTCATATGTGTATAAGAAGTTAAATCTACATTTATATTTAGTAATGAATTAATGTAGGTAATGAAAAGAATAGGACCAAGTACAGAGCCTTGAGGTAACAAAAAACCTATTACAAAAATTTGCCATTTCGGTATTGTCTTTAAAGGGTTCTTTATTACTAGCTATTTGATATATTTATATTATTGTTGGTTTTATTTATTTTCTCATTTGTGGCATGAGCAATTATTTCATAAACTTTTTTCATATTATTGATATTCTCATTAATTTGATTATTGTAATATGTATTTTTTCTTAATTTGGATAATTTTGTTAAGATTGCTTTATAATTTTTATACTCTTGTCATTAGAGTCTTTAAATTAAACTTTTAATACCTAGTATACGAACTTTGTATTAAGCATATAGTGTTTTTGGCTTCTCCTGATAAATTTAATTAAAAATCTAATACTTATTCTTATATCCTGAAGTAAACTTCGTGGCCCTTTGTAAACATATAAACCAAAATAAAACTGTCACGATGCAGAATACATTTTGATTCTAGACTAAAATGTATCTCAATAATGTAAATTTGTAGATATCCATTTATTGCAAGAAACTTTTAGAACTAAGTGGGCTTGGAAAATAATGAAAACTTACCTTTTGATTTTGAAATGCAACCATTTACCATTAACACTATAAATTACAATTTGCTGAGGTCTTTCTTGCAAATTTCATTTTTAATATAAACACATCATAAACTATTAGAAATAAACAAATTTAATAGTCCCAAATAAGAAAAATTTCGAATTTCGATACAAGGAAGAAGATGACAATGTTACCAACCTTTAATTTTTTCTAAGTTACCAACCTTTAATTTTTCTATGTTACCAACTGTCGAACTGATTGAAAAAAAAATGAACCTGCATGAATTTCCGAACTCACCCAGAACAAAAGTATTTCTATGTTTTGTGTGCTGCGATTTTCGTGTTCTTTGTTTTCGTGTACGACAAACATTAACAAATTCAAAAATGGCTTATTTTATTCTATTTAAAACTTTTGCAAGGAGTTGTTTGAGAACGTTTTCAATAAGTGATTGATTTATCTTATTTTGTGTTAGAAATATATAAAATCAGTTTCAACTATTTTGGTATCTAAGAGGTGAGTGTACACATGTCAATATTTAATGAATTGTCCAGTGTTTGGAATATTTCTGTATAGGTACTTGCGTGGGTACCTATTAGTTAGTTAAACAAAATATTGATACAGATTTAGTCATAATATGTACTAGAACAAAATATTATGTTGCACAGTAAAAATGTTATTCCTCTTCCATTTTATAATAGGTATTCTTTCGTTCTCTAAATAGATATACCTACCTACGAATATGTACCTAACATTTTAATAGATTTTAAAAAAGGAGGACGTTCTTAATTCATTGTAATATTTGTTTTATGTATGTTCAACGATAATTATGTACTACGTTGTCCAGGTGCATCAGGGGTGGTCCAATAAAAATTTGTTCAAAATCTAATATAATGGCCCAGACAACACACCAAATCCCAAAGATATCCACAGAATATCTTTTGTGGATATCCAATATATCCACAGGATATCAGAAATATTTCGTGGATCTAATATGGATATCCAAATGTCCGTCTATATCCAGAATATAGAAGATATCCTATGGATATTCAGCAAAATATCTAATTAGTATCTTCCAGACAATACAAGAAATCCCAGAGATATCCACAGAATATATTTTGTGGATATCCAATATCCAAATATGGATATCCAACCAAATGTCCGTCTATATCCCAGGATATAGAATTCAGATATTCAGCAAAATATTTTATAGGTATCTTTAGTAGACATTCATAAGTAACCAAATGAATCATAATGTCGAAAAAAGAAAATAGAGATAAAAAATATTTCCAACAATCTGTCTTTGAGTTTGCCCACTAAGGAAAAAGTCATCCTTATTAGGACTCTTCAGCAATAAATGGAAATTCTCAACTCCAATCTCTAATAGAGTCTTAATGCGAAAAAATGTTCGATCAACTCAATTATGGCGGGTTGAGCATGAGTAGATACGAAAGTGGTATCGCCATCTATACTTAGGAAGCAAAATCAAAAATTACATCTAGTAGTTATCCACGATGGTTTGCGTCCGCGCTAAGACTTTGATATATGTGGATGTCCATGGGATATTGAATACACCTTAAAAAAATTAATTTTAAATATCTGAACGGTACTATTAGCCACAATGGCGAGCACAATGGCGTAATTTTTTAATAATTTGCTATATAATTACTATTATTTATGGACATTTGCATGTCTATAAATTACATTTTATGGATATAAAATAGATATCCACCATGGACTGGACATTCAGTGGATATTGGGATGTTCAGTAGATATCCAAAGGATTTGGTGTGCTGTCTGGGGGGGTACATGAGAAAATCACCAAACTCTTAATTTTTGTTTATGTAAGTTCAGCGATAATTCTTTATCACGTTGACAGATTTATATTAATCTTTTTTTGTTAGAAAGGGG